AAAAAAAAAAAAAAAAAAAAGAAGTATTCCAGGGCTGGGGATTTAGCTCAGCAGCACAGTGCCTGCCTGGCAAGCTTAAGGTCGTGAGTTTGATTCCTGGTACCGGAAGAAAAACAAAAAAAGAAGAAGTATTCCACCAGCTGGGCATGATGACATATACCTGTAATCCCTGCAGGATTGCTGGCAGAGGCAGGATTGCTCTCAGTTTGAGGCCAGCCCAAACTACATAGTGATACCCTATTTAAAAAAAAAAAAAAAAGTATTTTAAGTGATTCTGATGCACATTAAATTTTGAGAAACATAGGTCTAGAATAAACGTTTCCCAAATGTTAGTCATACATTATCTTTACTAGATTTTTTTTTTTTTTTTTTTACGGTTTTCTATTTCTTTGATATCTTTTAACTCACTTTCTGAAAATTTAAGTTAATGACTCTTGTCACTTAATGTTTTCTATGCATTAGTTTGTGAGGTATATCAAATACAGATATTGCCAGATAGAAATTTCTTTTGTGACATAATCATAATAACTTTTTTACTGAGTATTTAAAACGTCTTGATGAAATCACGTAACCCTCAATTTCTGTTGTGTAAATCCCATACTTTGGAAACGCTGTTGTAGGTATTATTAAGGAAAGTTGAGAAGAGAGTTGTTGAGCAGTATATACCCAAACTTCTGAGTAAAAATGATTAGCCAGAAAAAAAAAAAAAGTGATTAGCCAGCATAAAGGTTCATGAGACAGAGATTTAAGAGATCATCAGTGTCAGATTACCTGGTTTAGCTTGATTTCTTACCTCTCCTTCAGTGTTTTACTCCGTGGTAACCACTGGTGCTATGGGTTTTCATTAACCAATTCCACAGAACAGGGTGAAGAGAATTCTGGAATAGAAATTGAGAGAGAGGAGCTGGACATGGTGGCACACTCCTGTAATCCCAGCAGTTTAGCAGCAGGCTAAAGTAGGAGGATCAATGTGAATTCGAGGTCAGCCTCGGCTAATAGTGAGTTCAAGGCCAGCCTGAACTACACAGCAGGACCTTGTCTCAAAAAAGGAACAAGCAAAACAGACAAAGAAGTAAAAGAAACTGAGGGAGAGAGGCTATGATTCTGCATTATGGACAGGGGAACAGAGCAGGGCGTGATACTTAGGAAAGCTGACCCTAACCCCAGCCTAAGTCTAGAAACCATTTATTATTAGTGTGAACGTTCTTGTGTTACAGTTTGATTTGCCCACGGTATTAGAAGAATACTTCCCCCAGTGATGTATATGTTGGTTGATGTGTCTTAGGGTATAGTAATTATTGATAACAGTAATATAATATTTCCAGATTGTTGAGTTTCTTTTGTCATTCCTTTCCTTAGAATTATGGATACATTCTATCCTCTTGACTCTGTAATAAAATAATCCTAGAGGGACCAAAAGTGTTACGGGGAATGGAGATTTATGCAGTTATGTTTATTTTTAAGCAATGCATCCTGTGATATTGCTATAAGGTTCTGATATCAAATAAAGTGTTTAAAAAACTATGAAGGAGCCTGGTGTGTTGGTGCTGGCCTATAATCCCACTTACTTGGGAAACAGAGGCAGGAGGATTGAAAGCTTGAGGCCAGCCTGGACAATTTAGTGAGACCCAGGGATGTAGTTGAGTGGTAGAGCACTTGCTTAGCATACATGAGACCTTGGGTTCTATTTTTAGTACTCAAAAAAAAGTGCAGGGTATAATCAGACTTAAGTGAACAGATGTTTACACTCTGACACATTCTAAGAAGTGAATAAAGCATTACAAATAAAGTCCCTTGTGTTTCCCTTCACTGTCTTAGTCCTTCCCTCGAGACAACTCTTTTGTGAATTTGCTGTGTATTCAGGGTAGCACAATATTTCTGCTATGTTATTTTAATTTTTAAGGCTAACGTCTCCTTCATGGTAATCTGTTTTTCATTTTAACTTTTTTTATCATTAGGTTGTCACTTACATCTTTTAGTATTCTCTTTTCCATTCCTTTGTTGGTTTTAGATTTAGGGAGACTTTCCTTGTTTTTTATCACTGTCAACAGCTGATACTATCAGTCTTTTTTAGTAGATAATTTGAGAAGTCAGCCAGTCACTTTTTCTTTGATTCTTTTCAATTCTTTCTTCATAGCCAATGATAGCTTTCATTACCTCTAATTTTGTATGTGGAAAACCCTATAATAGGAGGGCAGTACCAGATACCCAGAATACAGGTATAACCATCAGAATTGCAGTTCTGCAAGCATCCAAACGTAAAATTGAGCAGGTTGTGCTTTTCTATGACATACTATCTTAAATTCTGTATAACCTTAAACTTAATGCTTAAATAAATATTCAGGCTTTCGTAGTGTCTCTCTTAAATCTCAGAGAAGAAAGTCCCCCCAGAAATAATGATAGCCTCAATTCCTGCCAGATGGTGAGACTCTGCTTGTATAATGAGACAAGATAGGTTTGTGGCAGGGTGAATAGAGCCTTAGACCATAGCTACTTTAGTGTTTCTGTTTGCACATCCCCATTATGTCTATTCTGTTAGCTCTTAAAGACCTACACACTTTTTCTTCTCCTACCCAGGGTATTTCCCAGTCTCACTCACTTATAATTTACTTTTTTTTTTTTTTTTTGTACTGGGAATGGATCTCTGGACCTTGCACTTGCCAGGCAGGCACTGATACACTGAGCTATATCCCTGGCAACTAGCTTATAATTTTCTTACATGGATTTTCATAGACCCGAAGGCTGGATTTTTTTTTTAAACTTTAAAGACATTAATATTTGATCAGATCCAACAAAGATGAACTTCTTTTGGGAAGTTTTTCTGTAATGAGCATTGTATTTAAAATGTTGAGCTTTTCATGGAGATTATGGCAGGGATAGTATTACAAACCTATAGGACCATGTGAACCAAAGGATTAAGAGGGATAGCCTTTGTGAATTGTGTAGTATCTTTTTGTTTGCATTTTTTGGAGGTCAGGAAAGTATCTATTGTTACTCTGCACCACTGTAAATTTAGAAAAAAATCATTTGATAGGCAACTGTCTTCACTCATAATAAGTATATGTCTGAGCAGTATAACATATCAACCTGTAAAATGTTTTCAAAGCATTTGTAGTTGTATTAAGACATGGCAGAGAGTCCTCTTTATGAAATGAACCCTGCATGTTGAACTGCTTAAATATACAGTGAGGTAGACTGTATATATTCAGTGGGAAGGCAGCAAGGAATAAAAGAGTAGTAAGATTTTTTTTTTCCTTTAAAGGTTGCCTATAAAAGGTTTGTATAGGTAGAGTCTAAAGAGACAACAAAGGTAGTACAGTTAGTGCAGTTGGTAAGGAAGTGTGAGGGAAGTGTAAAGACGACCAGACTGGTTTCTTAGTGTAGTAGTCACTAGATAGCAGTTCTCACCTGCTTGGATGCACATGAGGGGTTTACTTGTGCATTTCTTAAGGTCTCTGTGCCCTGGAGTAGAGTAGAAACTGGCCATGGGTCTTTGTGTAGTCCCCACATATTGGAAGAATTGGTAATAAGAGAGGAACATTTCCCTACATTTGAGGTTTTAAGGGGTCAGGGAGACCAGAGCTTTAAGCTTCAATTCTATACTTCTCTCTTTAGGTCTAGCTTTCCTATCACTGAAGGGATATGGATCTTCAGAGGGAAAAACCTACTTTGTTTCAAACCAACTGTGACATTTGGCCCCTAAAATGTCTGTCTTTGGGGAGGGGTTTGGTTGTTAACACTCGAAAATGTGGGACTCTCTCCTTGGTCTCATTTATAGACTTGGGATGCTTCCATTGCTTCATGTGCTGTTATCATTTCTTCTCTTTATTTTCCCTAAGCTAAGCTATAATTCTGTACAAAAGAAATGACTGTCTTTATAAATTGCTTGCCTTTAGTGCCTGATAATATGCAGTAAGATAGGATTCTGCATATATTAAATATGTCAAATATTACAAACTTTAAGGTTTTTTTGAAATTATAATACTAAACTCAGTTCACTTTTGCTTAGCCTTCACAGTTGTTGATCACATAGCATGGTCATCCACTCACAGCTTAAAAAAATACAGGGAGCATCGGAGAGAATGGGTAAAGTAAAATTTTGATGTTTTTAAAATAGCACCTAAATCTATGAAAGTTAATTTGGTTATTGTTTGTATGGGTGGGAGAGGGTGGGTGGTGACTGGGAGGGGGGTGGGTATCTGGAAAATAGCATGCACCTTGTACAATGATACCACCTAGGTTAAGGTTTTAAGTGTTAACTGTAAAATTTAAGTCAGTTTCAGAAAAGGCAGGACCGTAAAAGGCAGTATTACTACATATAATGGTGTTATTTTTCCCTCCCAAGAGATTGAAGGAGATTTTGAGAATAGAGGTGTTGAGTAGTTTGGACAGGAGCTCTCTTTTTAGATTGACCTGTTTGTATTCCCTAAGTGAAGCTGTCTGACTCAGTACCACCTCAGGCTTTATTATGTTGGTGAAAGACCTGGGCAGAAATACTAAGGATGCCAGTTTTTATTGTATACCTATGACTCAAGTGTTCTCAAATAAGAGTTGTAATTCATGATGTCCTAAAGGGTTGAGCAAAAGAGGGAGATGAGAGTTGTAACTTTGAGGATAGTTTCTTGGATAAGAAGTATTAATAGATTAATAGACCTTTTTTGATGCTTCTATTCAAATGAAATGCTCTTTGGCTGCCAAAGTTGTGAATCAAATTTCTAATTCTAAAAACTTGGCATTATAGTACCTGCAAAGCCTAATTATTGTGGAGGTTATAGGACAGAGTCCACCATGTATGTGTAGGTAGGACAACTTTTTTGTTGTTGACTTGAATAACTTGGCCTAATTTCTGCTCCATTAAAATTTTTAAAAAACTTTTGTCTGTATGCTAACTGGATTAAAAAATAAAGACATTAAATTTTACTTCTAGAATGTTATTCTGGCCTCAATTTTGCTGTTCCCCTACATGAAGCCATTTGCCAAAGCCAAATATGTTTTACTTACTGTTCCCACACCTGCTTGCCTATCAGCTTTGTCAAAGATACTTCTTCTGTGTGGAATATTCTTTTCTTTACCTTTGCTCTAAGTCTTTAGCTATTTTTCAAATTTTGGCTTCTACTTACTACATGAAGCCTTTCTCCTCCTCTCCGGTTGTTGATGGTGATGGTCATTGGGGTCTTAAAATTACTTTAAGTACTATCTCTTCAACACACCCATTTCACACTAATTGTTAATTATGTATTCTGTTGCTGTACCAAAATGTGGGCTCCTTGGGGGATAGAGCAGTGTTTGTCTTATGCTGTCCATAACACCATTGCCTGGCATAGAGAATCCCTAACAGGTTGGATTCTGTGATTTGGAGCCAATGTCAGTGTAACAGGGCAATTTTTCTCCCATAGTTTATTTTTTTAGATGCTATATGAGCAGTTTTTTAGGGTAGTGGCTTACACAGTTTAGGTTATTTTTATGTGATTATATGCCCCCAAAAACCAAATATGAAGTGCATTGAGTTCTTAAGATATCTCCTTATGTTACAAGGAGATTTCTTTCATATTTGTTCCTTTTGTAGTCTTTTTTTTTTTTTTTTAAGGGGTGCTGTTTTAGCTAGTTTCTTTTGAAAAACATGGTTTGGGCCAGATATTTTGACAGAAGCCAAAATTACCAATATTTTTATTTTAAAATTCTATGTTTAACCAAATTACACTTATGGCATAAACCTGTATAAATGTATTAAATACTACATTGTTGCCAAATTGTATTAAAATGTTAACCTTAAAGTCTTTTAAATAGAACTTTTTAACATACCAAGGAACAGATCCTCACTTGCTAAGTCCCTTGCTCAGTAGTTCTGTGTTTGAATTATTAGGTTTATTATCTCATTGTTTTAAGAATTTCTATAATGGTTGATATTCGATGGCCCTTTTATTGTGTTTGCTAGCCTCTAGAAAAGATGTTTATGGAATAGCCATTTACTTTGCAGTGAGGAGTTATTTTTAAGTGTCTTTTGATTGTAGACTTGCTTTTCTCCTTAAAAAAGCTTATCAGGGCTACTCTTTGCTGTACTCATATTTGCAGTTCATATTTTGGCTGATAGTGTGTCTTCAGGACACATATACCTTAGTGTTAGATTTAATGTAATTTCTTAGGCAAAAGTCACCCTACTCTAGTAAATGTTTGATTATTAAAACTTTGTGAGTCTTCATTTTATTCTAAGGCCTTATCCCCCTATTCTAAGCTTATACCCTTGAGTCATAAGTTTTACCAAGCACTATTGTATTGCCAAAGAACTTAGATACTTGTAGCAAGGGGACTCCTGGGTATGTAAGATTTTTTTGTTTTCCTAGTTTAAAAAATTTATCACTTTTAAAGTCCTTATCATAATTAGGGTACAGATTTAAAACAAAAAAATTCTTTTTCCTTAAGTGATAGGGAACAGAAAGCCCCTCCTACGTAGCTTGGACATTCTGGTGTGAACTTATCTCAGTGCCATTTTAACATAAAGTTGAGGTACTTAATAGTTTTGATAAATATACTTTCTAAGGAAACTTTTTTTTAAAACTTCAGTTGGCCTTGAACTTTAACTTGCGGTTAGGTATCTTCTCTAGGGTTACACTTGTTAAATTAATATTATAAAAAAATTAATACACTTTGATTTTGTTCACTTTTGTTTTCATATACAAGAATCTTCAGTCAACATGTACTTCTAGATGCTGTATTGAAATTGCTGGCAGAGTCTATTCTATACAAACTGAACAATCTGGCCCCTTGTTTTATTTGTAAAGGTTCAATGTATCTATGCCTGCCTACTTCAATCTGCAAGGGAGTGTCAGAAAGGCCCCGCATTCGCCGAGCCGTGAGTTATCACTAACTTTTCAGATGTGTTAATGAATGTGGAACAAAAGCAGTTGTGTTTAAAAGGAAAAAGGGACCATCAAAATAATCTTTATTATAGTAGCAGGCGTGAACACTAAATGGATTATTCCAAATTGTGTCAAAAAATAACCTACTAGAGACTAGCCTCTAGAAAACCTATTGTTGAACTGCTCTGAAGCTATCATTTTAGCTGTAAATTTTTTAATATATACCTGTAGAATATTCTTAAAATATTTTTAACCAAGTTAAAACAGTTTGAACAAAATTTTACCCCACAGTGTTTTCTTGGAATTTAAGCTCTTCAATATAAGCGTACTTGAAAGACGAAATTTTAACCTTTTTGTTACGTGTGAAAAGACAAATGATTTGAATGATTGAATCATTTCCTAGATGAAAGTTTTTGGAGTGCTCCAGGCATTGTCAGCTGTGGAGGTATTTATGATCTCTTGGTACCAATAGTTTTGCTTCAGTAATTCACCAGTAGGTTTTCATTCATTAATGATGATACCCATTTAAGGCTAAAATAAAACACCATTTTTTAGGGCTTATCATTTTATATAGAAAGAGGAAACATCCTTATGAATTCCCCGCCCCAGAGATTATAAGCAAAAAATTGTAACATCTATATTTTATTAGAGCTAGTCACCTTCTTTTTCTTAGATTCTTTAAAATTTTGAGTAGATACGGTGTTTGATAAGCAGGTTGGATGCTTCTGTTGCTTAGGAGGTGTTTTGTTTTATATGAAGACAGAATAAATGTAAATGTACCCCGTTTGGCAATATATAGCACAGACCACATAAAACTTGGAGCTGTGGAACCTTTGGAGGCATTAGAAAGTTAACATTTCATTTAGGCAATGTGCCTTTGTTTGACTGGTGTGTAAGTCCTTCTTCCAGGTTTGTACGCTCTTAAATGCGTTATTCTACCCTCTCTAACTCCTCCCAGCAGCAAAAGGGAGACACTTCAGCTGGAACAAAATAGTGGAAGAAATGGCGTCTGGGGTTCAGTGGGGATTCGCAGTGTGTATGCAATGTTTGCAAGATTACTTTTTATGTTTTCCAATTAATGTAAATAATTACAAAATAAATCAATGCTTACTGTCAAGAAGGGAACATTGTATTCCAGTAGAAACTCTCTTAGTGGGTCTGCTGCAATCCTTTAACCTCTTGGGGCCTCAGTTTTCCTCATCTGCAATATGAAGGAGTTGGACTTCATAAACTTCAAGGTCCATTCCTGCTCTAAAATCCTATGCTTTCCTGAAGTATTCTATTTAACAGAATGCATTGCTTTCCCACTTTGACTGTTTGAATTACATGTGCAGTACACATACTGCAACTGCATGTTGTCTAAAGTAGTTTTTCTATAGGATGTTATAAAAAAGCTAATCCCTCTTGACCTGATTTATAAATGTGTGTGTATATAACCACACATAAAAAGCTAGTGAAACTAGGGCTTTCAGAAAATAATTACTTTCCTGTTGTCTAACCTTGTATGTTATTAACTTTTCTATATTACAGGAGACACTACCCGTCAGCGAATCAAATTCAGTGACGACAGAGTATGCAAGAGCCATCTTCTCAACTGTTGCCCCCATGATGTCCTTTCTGGAACTGTACGTGTTTATTAAATCTATTTGATTACTGATATACTAGAAAGATGAACTGTGTACAAAGTCTTAATTTTTTGTCAAATTATTAAGCAATATTTTAAACAGTTACTAGAGGAGGGATTTGTATCCTTTTCATTTGTTTATTTAGATTGATGATTTAAATCTACAGTAATGGGTTTCCTCACAGAATTGGTAGATTTTTTTTTTTTTAAATATTTTTTCCATTCTTCATAACAGTTTTTTAAAAGCACTTATTTGCAGTGTAGAGGGTAGGTAGGCTATAACATAGCATTTACACTTTTAGTTAGAAGTAATTAATTGTTTTTTTTTGGGGGGGGTACTGGGAATCAAACTCAGGACCTTGTCTTCGCCAGGCAGGCGCTGTGCCATTGAGCTATATCCCAGGCCCCTGATTAATTGATTTTTAAACTTTAATGTTAAATGGAGACTTTTACCCAAAATAGTATACATTTTTGTTAAGATTTATGCACATTTATATTGTGGAATCCATGAGAAAAATATATTAGTAAGTACTGAAACCTTTACAATTTGAGAGTAGTGTTGTCACACAAAGTTGTCTTGCTAGCTCCTGATACCCTCTGTCTCAATTTAGATTCTACCTGCGGATATGTTGATGTTAGAGTATTTTATTTTGTCTTTTTGAGACAAGGTTTCGCTATGACATTCAGGCTGACCTTGAGCTCACTTTTTTTTTTTTTTTCCTCTTTTGAGACAGGGTCTCGCTGTGCAGTGCAGGCTGGCCTTGAACTCACTTTGTAGCCCAGGCTGGTCATAAACTCACAACGATCCTCCTGCCTCAGCTTCCTTAGTGCTGGGATTACAGGTGTGTAATCCACGTGGCTTGGAGCTCACTTTTGTAGTCCAGGCTGGCCTTGAACTTGCAGCAGTCCTGCCTTAGCCTCTTGAATGCTAGAATCACAGGTGTGCACCACTTTGCCCAGCTAGAGTATTTTAATTTAAAAGGCTAAAAAAACTTGATGATGGATTTATTTAAATGGAATAAAGAAATTCTTTGACGTTTGGATTTGGTTGAAATTATTATGAAAGCGGTAGCACTTCTTTCACTCAATGGAAGGAAGATGGTAGAAGATGCACTTGATGGTAGTGGAAGCTAGTAGGGGCTAAATCTTGAGCTGGCTTCATTTCTCATTTGCCAGAAAAGATTTTCCTCCCTTAGCTACAGATGCCTAAATGAGTGGTTTATTTTGGTAGGAAGAATTAAATTAAGGACCTACCCCAAACAAGACTATCAAGGCATATACACCAGGAAGCACTGCTGTTACTTTCAAAGACAGTTGAAACTGTATTATGTTAAAAGAACAAAAACTTAAATGTTCTTTTGAAAGCTCAGGACCACAAAGTAAGAAATCTTATTTCTGATGTAGGACTGTTGACAGACAACGTCTGACAGCAAACTTACATCTACTCTTTCAGTTCCTAGAATTATTTTCAGCTGTGCTGTGGTGCATTTGAAATCTGTAATGGCTCTAAGTTCTCATTTCAGATAAATTTAGAGTACATTAATAAAATTACATAATTTAGCTTTTTTTGCTTTTTAATATTTTAGAATCAGCCATAGCAAGATTTTGATCTATTACTTTTTCTTCTAGTATGACATTAATAATAAACTCTGACTTTGCAATGTGTTTCACATTTTCTGATGTATATAATACGGCTCAGCACCCCCTTTGTTTCCTTTCCTGTGGTACTTGGGATTGAACCTGTGGTCGCAAGCATGTTAGGCAAACACTCTATGCTTAAATTATAGCCCCAGCCCTCATTTATTTTTTAAAAGGATTGTGGGAAATAATATAGTCATAGTTATAGATTGGAAATCAGCCTTAATGATATTTAGTAACTTCATACCAAAATCACTCAGCTCTGTTGATGTGAAGTAAAATTGGAACCAAAGCTCAATTTCTAAAAAATATTTGATTTATTTATATTTTTTTGGTACCAGGAATTGAACTCAGGATCTTGCACTTGCCAGGCAGGCATTTATGCCTCTGAGCTATATCCCCAGCCCTAAAAAACATTTCTGATGCTTTTATTAAGAGATATCTCAAACATAAGCAGAGGTAGAATAGGCTAAGCACTCATGGACTTAATATTTATCACTCAGCTTTTTTTTTTTTTTTTTTTTTTTTTTTTTTTTTTTTTTTTTTTTTGGTTTTTCTCCGGTACCGGGAACCGAACTCACGACCTTGCGCTTGCCAGGCAGGCGCTTTTGCCGCTGAGCTAAATCCCCAGCCCCTCACTCAGCTTTAACAATTAGTAACATTTTGATATTCTTTAGACACAAATTATCTGATCTATAGTCTTGTCCAGCATGTTTTCTTTTTCTTTCTTTTTCTTTTTTTTTTGGATACCAGGAATTGAACTCAGGACGTTGAGCTTGGTTGGCAGGCAGGTGCTGTGCCACTGAGCTATATCCCCGCCCCACTTTTTTTTAAGACAGAGTCTCACTTTGTAGTTCAGGCTGCCCTTGAAGTCACTCTGTAGCCCATGCTGCCCTCAAACTCCCAGTGATTCTCCTGCCTCAGCCTCCTTAGTGCTGGGATTACAGGCATGTGTTACCCCGCCCATGGAGAGTTCTTTTTTAAAAGATAATTTTGAGATATGTCATTGAGTTACGCAACCTAGACTGGCCTTGAATTTGAAATCCTCCTGCCTCAGACTCTTTGGACTAGATAAATTTACAGGTGTGCACCACTACAGATGGCTTCTATAGGGAATTCATAATCTTCTGTCTTTGTTAACTGAAGAGGATGGATGGTTGGTCTTGGGCCTGTCTTCCCGTAAAGTTCTTACTGATGGGTTGCACAATGCACATTTTAGCAGATTTAAAAATCTCTGGGCCAGATGAATCCCAGCACACAGGAGGCTGAGGCAGGAGGATTGCTGTGAGTTTGAGGCCAACCTGGACTATGTAGTGAGACCTTGTCTCAAAAAACAAAAACAAAACGAGGACAGTATTTTTCTATCATAGAATTTATTTATTTATTTATTTATTTTTTGAGACAAGGTCTTGCTATGCAGTTCAGGCTGGCCTTGAGCTCTCTTGCAGCCCAAGCTAGCCTCAAACTCTCAATGATCCTCCTGCCTCAGCCTCCTGAGTGCTGGGATTATAGGTGTGTACCACCATGCCTGGCTCCTGTCATAGAATTTAAGGTGCATATTTTAATAGGTTTTTTTTTTTTTTTTTTCCTGAATTGTTTTTTTGAGACAAAGTCTCATTATGTAATTTAGGCTGGCTTTGAACTCATTTAGGCAGCCACTCATAGCAATCCTCCTGCCATAGCCTCTGGAGTGCTGGAAATACAGGTGTGCACCATTGTGCCTGGCTAGAAAAATACTGTTGCGTAGTATTGTTCTTACGGTACAGAATGTAAGGATGAGGCTTAAAAATGATGGTGTCCTGAATAATATGATAAACAGCTAAGGCAAGGTCTTACAAAGGCACTTCCAGAGGGAACTCTAGGAATCAAACCTCTTTATTTGCAGCCTGATACGTAGAATTGTAATATGTAAGTATGGGTCAGAGTAGATGTGATCCTCTTTAAGAATATGCAGTTTTGAGCACTAGGATCATTTTTGTGAGGGTTTAGAGTTGTCATAGAGTGGTATCCTTCAGAACCTGAAAGTCATTACGACTGCTCATGTCCATTATTCTTAAGAAGGGCTGCTATTAGCAGGTCATCCTATGTATGAATGGCTTACAATTGCAGAGCTATTAACTTCTTTACCATCTGGTCCCCCCTGTAGAACAAATCCTTTTCTGGGTCACAGTTGAATAGTTAATACCTTTTTTTGTTGAAAATGGCTTTTGTTTTTTGTTTTTTTGAGATAGGGTCTCACTATATAGTTCAGGCTGGCTTTGAACTCACTGTATAGCCCAGGCTGGCCTCAAACTTGCAGTGGGGATCTTCCTGCCTCAGTCTCCTGAGTGCTGCAATTGCAAGATATTCCTGGAATTACAGGCATGTGCCACTGTGCCTCACTACCGCGCCCCCCCACCAGGAATCGAACTCACGACCTCGTGCTTGCCAGGCAGGCACTGTGCCGCTGAGCTAAATCCCCAACCCCTGCCTCGCTCTTTTTGTATGTTAGATGAAAAAGGAAAATAACTGAATTTTAAGTTTTATAATGCTTTTTCTAACTAAAGGTTAGAAAACTAAAGGATGCCCATTAGCATTCCTGACCTTATTAGATTTGTCACTTTCAGCAGATTATAGTTTACTGATAGTCTAGGATTATTTTGCAAAAGAATACATAGAGATGTATTTTTTGGCTTTTTTCATTATTAAGAAGTTGTACTTTATATCAAGCACTTGTACAGAGTGTGGTTTCTAAAAATTATACTCATAGCTGACAATTTGTTACAGAGTTTTTTAGCCAGGTGTGGTGGTGCATACCTGCAATCCCAGCACTCGGTAGGCTGAGACAGGAGGATTGTTGTGAGTTCAAGACCAGCCTGGGTTACAAAGTGAGCTCAAGGCCAGCCTGAACTGCATAGCGAAACCCTGTCTCAAAAAGACAAAAAAAAAAAAACCAAAACAAAACAAAAAAAAGAATTTTTTGGAATTCAGCTTCATGAAAGTGCTTCTGTAACATACTACCATTCTTTATTGTTCATTACTAATTCTTAAATTAATAAGTTAATCAATGAGGTACAAAATGCTGAACAGAGAAAACAGTCTTTGAGTTACGACTTTTTTTTAAGAAGCATGATTTTTTTGTTTTCTTCTGCAATACTGAAGATTGAACCCAGGGTCCTGCACATGTTACTGTGCAAGCTGAGCTATAGTCCCCACTCTTTTAGCTTTATTTTGAGATAGGGTTTCAATAAGTTGCCCAGGCTGGCCTTACACTTAGAATCCTGCTTCAGCTTCCCTAGTAACTGGGACAACAGTTTGCATCACCAAGCCCAGCTCTTTCCTGTCTTTTAGAAATGATTGGATGTGGTAGTGTTCATTGTCAGA